GCTTCCAAAGGAGAGGTGAGGCTTAGCTAACACACAGCAGGAGAGGATAGCAACCTCTCTCTGGCTTAAAGCTCTGCTGTGGCTTCCCTTGGGCTTTCCAACAAGGGCAGACCGCTTGCCATGGCCTTAAAGGTCTTGCTGGTTCCTGCTGCTGACCTCTTCATCTTTCCACTTCTTTCCAGTCTCCTCTTTGGCCTCTGAGTTCCAGCTTCCGTTAGGGTTCCTATATCCCCTGAGCTCCACTGACTCAGCTCAGGGCCTTGACACACACCCTCCCTCTCCCTTACCCTGCAAGTCTGGAAGTCTCAGCCAGTGTCACAGTTAGAGGAGGCTTTGAGCAGGGCCGTGAGGAGGGAAGTGCAGGGAGACTCGTCAGGAATGGGGAGGGCATGGAATAGGGCAGTGAGGCAAGCCAGGAAGCCTCCCTGGAAGAGAAGAGCTAAGGACTCACCAGCTAAGTGAAGGAAGAGACAGCTGTCCTTTCATCTCCAGCCTCCCACTGGGTGGATTTCCTAACCATGCTGCAGTGATGTGGCTGCTTCTCTTGAAGCTCTTCCAAGCTCAGTTTTCCTTCCACAGCAAATTTGGAGAAGCATGTTGCTAACATTACTAAGATAAAGCTATTTCCAGCTTTGTTTTTCTTCTCAATTGAATCATGAATACAAACTCCTACTTGGGTCCTTCTACCCAGCCACGTTTGAATGAAATCGCATTTCCACTCTCAATGTGCTGCTTAACTGGCTTGTCTCAAAAAAAATGTCTCTTTTACAGTTAGTTAGTTCAAATCAAGATCCAGTGAAAATCCACACAATGTGTTTGGTTAATATGGCTCATAAGAGTCTTTTAATCTCCAGCAGTTTCCCACCACCCCCACCCTTTATTCCATGACATTTATTTGTTAAGGAAACTGGGTCACCTGTTCTGTAGAATTTTCCACATTCTGTATTTGGATGATTGCATCCATGTGGTATTGTTTAATATATTTCTCTAGTCTCTGTATTTCATGTAAGTTGTTAGATCCAGACATGGTGCTCTCCAGTACAAATTTCTGTACTATGGAATTGTTCTATATCTATGCTTCCATTAGCCACATGCAGCTAACGGTACTGGAGGCATTTATGGTTGGAGGAGAGATGCCAGGGAGAGTTTGTAATGAGCCCTAAGAGAACCACAATGTAGATCCATAAGGTTTGGGAGAAGGGCCATGACATTTGCAACAGAAAGCAATACACTATTCGGAAAAGTGTCCCTGGCCCACTACTAGGTCCTGGTTAAGATGGTGGGTGTGGCCATGAGACATCAAGTGGCCATGTGGCCGGCCAGAACTAGCCATCCTGAGCTTCATTCTATCAGACTCACCAAGTCATAAAGTCAGGTGGGTCCGAAACAACCCATTACTAGACAAAAGGAGAACAGACAAAATTGGGCAGAAGCAGGGCCGGAAGGCAAAGTAAGCTGTACGGGTAAGTGGCTCAGGTCCCCGTGTCGCCCACCATTGCTTGCCTAGCACCTTTTCCTCAGCTCACACCTATGGCCATAATGGGGGACTCTTAGGACCAGCCGATAGAAGGGGGAAGAGTTCAAGCTTGATTCATGAATGGGTTGGTTCAACATGAGGGTGTGAGCCAACGTGGACCAATGCTGCACTACAGCTCCACTTAGGGATAACTCTGAAGTCCTCCCATTTGGCAGAGCTCCAGGTCATGCACCTCATCAGCCCCTTTTGTAAAAAGAAAAGTGGCCCAGGAGAAGAATAAACATAGGCTCGTGGACACTGGTGAATGGCTTGGTTGTGTGGTCAAGGGCCTATGCGGAGAAAAGATGGGAAAATCAGGGCCTAAGGGATTTGGAGAAGAGGCATGTAGATGGATCTCTAGGAGTAAGCACAAAGAGTCACACATGGGGGCGCCTGGGTGGCTCAGTCAGTTGAGCATCTGACTTCGGCTCGGGTCATGATCTCGCAGTTGAAGAGTTCAAGCCCCACGTCGGGCTCTGTGCTGACAGCTCAGAGCCTGGAGCCTGCTTCGGATTCTGTGTCTCCCTCTCTCTCTGCCCCTTCCCTGCTCATGCTCTGCCTCTCTGTCTCAAAAATAAATAAACACTTTAAAAAATTAGAAAAAAAAAAGAGTCACACATCTATCACCTGTTAACATCCACCAGAGAACATCTGCCGTGGAAAAGACCAAACGAAGCGTACAGCATGATTTTGCCGGTTGTCATTGGCCAACCTCTGTCAGTGACCACACCGGTGCTGGCACAATGGCAGTGGGGATAGACGCTACTCACGGGTTCACCAGCATGGCACCCACTCACTAAGGCCCATCTGGCTATTGCCGCTGCTGAGTGTTCACCCTACTGCAACATTGAATCCCACACAACGTTGAATCTCCCTCAGGGAGACCAGCCGGCCACTTGGTAACAAGCTGATTACATTGGACCTCCTCCACTCTGACAGGGGAGCAATTAATTTATCTCTACTGAAATCCACACGACACATACTATGGGTATGGGTTTGCCTCTCCTGCCTGCATGGCCTCAGCCAGCACTATTGTCTGAAGGCTCACTGAGTGTTTGATCCGCCATCATAGTATATACCACATAACATCACCTAACGTCAAACAACCCTTTTTTTGATGGTCAGGTCAGAGGCCAGTGACCTTACAGAGCAATAGCTGGATTGACCTTTGGGAGGTACAACTGAGGCACCATCTTGGAGATGCATCTATTCAACCAGTGCTAGAAGAGGAAGATATTTTTATATAGCTAACACATAAAAGGGGGGGGTGTCAAAATTATTTTTAACTTTTTCTTTTGAACTAATTTTAGAGTTACAGAAAAGTTGCAAAAATAGTACAGGGGGTTCCTATATGCCCTTAGCCTGATTGTCACTAACGTTTACATTATACATAACCATAGTACAATTGTCAAAACTAAGAACTAGTAAAATATTAATTGATACAGTTAGAGAATAGGTACATTACTAAACTACAGATTTGATTTTGCCAGTTCTTCCATGAATGTTCTCTTGTTTGGGGCGGGTTTTGTTTGGTCCGTATTCCATCATCTCACGCTGCATTTAGTTGTCTCGGCTCCTTTGTCTCCTATAATCTGTGACAGTTCCTTAGTCTTCCCGTGTCTTTCTGACCTTGATATTTTGAGGGGTACTGGTCAGTTACTTTATTGAATGTCCCTCAATTTGGGTTGTTTGATGTTTTCTCGTGAGTAGATTGAGGTCATGCTTTCTGGCAAGAATACCACAGAAGCGATTTGCCCTTCTCAATATACCATATCAGTGGTTTAAGATGTCAATATGTTCTTATTAGCAGTGACATTAACCTTGATCACTTGGTGCAGGTCATGCCTGTGGGGTTTCTGCACTGTGAAGTTACTATTTTTCTCTTTCAACTAATAAATATGTTGGGGTAGATACTTTAAGACTGTGCAAATATCCTGTTTTCCCTCGCTTTCATTCACTCTCTTTAGCATCCATTGGTGGATCTTGCCTGCGATAGCTGTTATTGTGGTTATTGCGTGTTCTATTGGTGATTTTCTCCTTCTCTTATTCCTTCTGTATTATTTAATTAGAATTATTCTCTAATAAAGAGCCATCCATTTTCCTTATTATTTATTCACGCAATTATTTATATATTACCAATATGGACTCATGGATATTTATTTTATTCCGTAGGTTATAATCTAATTGTCATTATTTTGTTGCTCAGTTCCGGCTTTGGCCACTGGAGGCCTCTGTCATCTAGGTTTCTCTGCCCTTCAGACCAGCCCGCACCTTTTTTTGAGCCCTGTCTTACTTCCTACTACTATAAGATGCTCCAGGCTCCTCTTGTCTTTCCCCTGCCCAGACCAGCAATCAACCACTTTTCCAAGGACTTCTGGTTCATTTTAGTGGAGAATAGTAATATTTAGGGCCTGGGGTTTGGGTGTGAGCTGTGCTCTTAAAACTCAACAATAAGAAAACAAAAACTGTGATTAAAAAATAGGCAGGGGCGCCTAGGTGGCTCAGTCGGTTAAGCATACAAGTGCAGCTCAGTCAGGTCACAATGTCGCAGGTCCTGAGTTCAAGCCCCACACTGGGCTCTGTGCTGACAGTTCGGGGCCTGGAGCCTGCTTCAGATTCTGTGTCTCCCTCTCTCTCTGCCACTCCCCCACTTACTCTCTGTCTCTCTCTCTTTCAAAAATGAATAAATGTTAAAAAAAAATTTTTGTTTAAATAGGCAAAAGATCTGGACAGTTCACCGAAGAAGACATACAGATGGAAAATAAGCATATGAAAAAATGTTGAACATCACCTGTCATCACAGAATTGCAAGTTAAAACAACAAGATGCCACTACACACCTATTAGAATGACTAAAATAAAAAAAAAAAAAACTGACACCGAATGCTTATAAGGCCACAGAGCAACAAGAATTCTCATCCATTGCTGGTGGGAATGCAAAATGGTACAGTCACTTTGGAAAACAATTTGGCAATTTCTTACCAAGCTAAATATAGTCTTACCATATGATCCAGCAGTCATGTTCCTAAGTACTTACCCAATCGAGTTGAAAACTTATGTCCCTACAGAAGTCTGCACATGAATGTTTATAGCAGCTTTATTCATAATCTTCCCAAACTAGAAACAACCAAGATGCCCATCCAAAGGTGGATGGATAAGCCAACCATAGTCCATCAGTACAAGGGAATATTTGTCAGCTACAAAAAGAAAGGAGCTATCACGTCACAAAAAGACATGGAGGAATCTTAAATACATATTGCCAAATGATAGAAATCAGCCTGAAAAAGCTACATGCTGGATGATTCCAAACATGTGACATTCTGGAAAAAATAAAACTAGGGAGGCAGCAAAAAGACGAGTGCTTGCCAGGGATTTGAGCTGCAGGGATGAATAAATGAACCGCAAGGGATTTTTAGGGTGGTAAAATTATTCTGGATGCTACTGTAATGGTGGATACATGACTTTATGCAATATTCAAAACCCATAGAGCTTTACAGCACCAAGAGTAAACCCCGCTGCAAACAAATTTTTAAAAAACCATTTAGGGGGCTGGAAGATCCCAAGAAGGAATGCGGACTGTGACAAGACAATCTAACTGTTATCTCTCTAAATGTGGGAAGCAACCTCACTGAAGGGGGGGTGGAGGAGA